CACAACAGGAACTGAAGGCACATCCCACTGGGAAGGAAACACCTTTTTCCCTCTGATTTGACAGATACAGAACCTGCAGCTCCTCTTGGACACATCAAGAACCTCCCCTTGGGGAGGTGCTGCAGGACCATGAGGGAATCCGAGCTCTAACCTGACAGAAGGATCCAAGAGCCTCCAGAATAGGTACTTCACATAGAAAAGTCAACATTTGTTATCAAACCCCATCATGTAAGAAATACATATAAACCACAGGCAGCAGCTTTGGTTCATTAGCCTAAATTTTCCATTTTAACAACTCTCCTAAAGCCAGGGCAGCAGCATCTGCTGTTACAGCAACACCAGGAGCCCAGCCTTCATCACTCCAACAATGAGAGGAGGCTGCAAAAAGCTGAGAGCTGATACAACATCCAGGGCAAGCCCTAAATTAACCCTGCCTTGACAAGGTCAATGCTCTGCCCTCAGCTTCAATGGTGCTGGAGTGCACCTGTGGCAGGAAAAAAGGCTAAGCTCTTTTAAATCACCTAAAGAAAAAGCATCAATATTTGAGGGTTTGTTTCAGGAGCTGTTGTTTGCAAGGCTGAAGTAGAAGAACAGAGACACAGGGAAGTTCATCACTGTAAATTATTGATCTGCTGCTTTCTAGACACTGAAACTGGTAATTAAACAAATGGTAAAAAGATACTTCATCAATTATAGAGGTGCCACTTTAAATTACACTTGCTCCAGGATGAATAAAACACAGAGGTTAAATGCTTTGGGTACTTCATGCCTGTTTCTTGTTCAAAATCCTCACCACAACAACAATTCTCATTCTCATATCCTGCTGCTCCAGCTGTGTGCTCTGTATCAAGCTTCACAAAGGGAAATTAGAGCTTTTTTTTCACAAGTCTTATTTCACACAATGCCCAGGAAGCACAGTCCTATGGTCAGGAGAGAGAATTTGGAGCAGATATCATTGGAATCCCCTTTCTGCTCAGCAGAGTTGGTTACATGGCCATAGGTCAAATCCCTGTGATAACAGCCCTCCCTCAAAAATCTGACAAAAAAAAAATAAAATAAAGTTTTTCCTGCTAACAGCCACTTGTGCAATCTGTGAAGCACCAGGCAGACATTCAACACTGGCCTGATGGTTTTTAGGCGCTATAGACATGTACACACCCTCACCAGCAAGCTGCTTCTGAAGCAAGATGGTGATGACACCAAAGATGCCCTTTTAAGCAGAAATCGTGTCACAACCACAATGATGACTCAAATTTGATTTATGATAAATTTTTATATGAGGGTGCAAACCTCACTGCATCAAGCTTAAGGTTATCTCATGCCACATGTTAAATATGTGAATGTAAAAGTACACTTGCTCTAATACTGATTTTGAAACAGAAACAGCAATCAAAGAAGAGCTTGGCCATCTTGCAGGTGCTGGCACAGGTTCTCTAGAACCATTATTACATCTCAAATAGATTTCACCCTGGGAAAGTATTTATTGAAGGCTGAGTTCATCAATTGATTGAGATAAACCAGGGAACATGAATATTCCAGGTTCAAAGCTGCAAATGCAGCAGAAGCAGCTGCCTTAAAGGCACATGCAAAACAACCCTAACAGGTGGACACAGCTGGCATCCCTCATGGAGCAGTGAGGCAACAGCAGGGAAACAGAGGCTGCTGCTGGAGCCAGAACAATCCTGGAAGGAAAAGAACTCATGGAGCAGTGGGGCAGGAGTGAAGGTGGGAGTTCAGAGAGGAAAGAGAGGCTGAGATGGAGAAGCATCAGAGTATGGTGTGGAAGCTGGAGATGATGGAAAGCTGCCAGCTTTCAGCTGATGGAAACAGGCCAAGCAGGAGATGAAGGCCGGACTGTAGGATTTTTGTGGAGGAAAGAACACCAGGGCTTGGTAGGGGGACGGGAGAATCAAAGGCTGAGCTGACTCTTCCTACTGCTCCCCAGATAATGAGGCTGAAGCACAAGGAGAGCAAGCTCTGCCGGTGCCAGGGGCTTTGTGAAGCGTTCCTCGCCTGTTCTGAGCAGAGTTACACAAGGTAAGGCTTTATTCATAAGTGCCTGATGGATCCTGTGTGTGCAACAGCTCCTACCAGCAGAGCAGTGTTTGTGGGAAATGTTAGGAAGAGTGTCTAAGAGAGATAAAGCCTTTGAGCTGCAGACGAAGCTGCCAGCCCTCATTTCCAGCTTGTCAGAGCAAGTCCTCCTTGAAGTCAGCAGCCTGGAATGAAGAGAATCTGGCATTTGTGCATGGATGTATGGCTCAGACAGCCAGGGCGGAGCGGCTGCCTTTAATCAGACTTTCCACAAAGGAGGGGGAGTGGGAGTGGCAAAGAGCAGTGAGTGATGGGCGTTATCCGCTGTACATCCACAAATTCCTCTCCTCCGACTTTGGATTTCAAGCCTGACCTCCTTTCCTACTTCCACTAGCCCCTGGAGCAGGAGGGGAAGGGCCATCCGGGATTGGAATCAGAGTACTTCACATTCTCAGAATTCCTGGTGTGTGTGAGAGGAGCACACACTTGTCTGGTGAGCTGACAAATCCCACAACAGCTGATGGGTGCCAGGTAGTTAGTTGCAGGGTAAACCCCTCTATTCCAAAATTCACTTTTCCAAGTGCTAACCCACTCCAGCTCACCTGCTGGATGACAGCTGGTTGTGAAGCCTCTTCACCCAAAGAGCAACAAAAAGGAGCAAAACTCCAAAACATTTTAATCCAGCTGCCTGCTACAGCATAAAGAATTCCAGTGCAAACCGCTTTTGGTTGTTTTCTACCCTCACAATGAGGCTACAGTCCACACTACATCACACAGAGCTTCAATTCCATCTAGAAATAGCCTCTTGAGGTCTCTGCTGCAGGATGGCATTCTTAAATTTTGTTTCCTTGTGTGTCACTGCTGGTGGTGACAGTAACAAATTGCAGGAACCTGCACGTATGCCCAGGGTGGGCACAGAGCCAGATCCGACCTCTCGCAGGGAAAGTTTTGGCAGCAGAATTAATTCCCTCTCCCTTACCCTGTGTCAGTCACATCATGCTCAGATACCACAACACAGTAACCTTGTCCTACAACCCACCACAAATGCCTTGTTAGAGCCCCACAGGGCTCAAAGGTCCTTTACAAATTTACACCTGGTAAAAAGCAGAGCAAAAGTGGGAACGTCTGCATCCTCATCTGGGCAGGGCAGCCCCCACCCTGACCCTCAGTGCACTGGCTCTCCCAAACTCCATCCATGAAAAACAATGCTCTGGGAAGGGAGCAAAATATTCCAGACACCAGTGCCCAAATGGACCCCTGTGCCTTGGGCTCTTCTCCCCATTTTGGATCCCAGCCACTCGAAGGATGCTTTGGCAAGAGGCAGAACAGACACCAGCTTTTCCTGGCTCTGTGTCCAAGCCTGTGCAGCCTGGAAGGATTTATCAGTGCCTCTCTCTTCCTGATCTGAGAGCACATTAAAGACACCAGCAGTGCAGGACTGCAAGGGCAGGTGCTCCTGCACTGCTCAGGAGCTGGGACTGTCAGAGCTTGGGAATGTTCCTTACAAGCAGTGGATGGAGATCGCCTGCTCTGTTTGTAAACCTTGGTAAAGCCAACATTTAGAAAACAACTAATTACCATTCATGTTCCAAACAGCTGGCCTAGATCCACATGCACATGCTGGGAGGCCTTAGTGCAAATCAGCCCACATGTCAGAGCACAAAAATCCCCCAGTGTGACTCTAGAACCTTCTAGCAAACAAACTTCTCACTAGCACTGACTTCAAGGATCAAAACACAGCAGTGTAAGAATAGAACAGCCACACAAGCCATCGTTCCCACATCATTACATTACAGACACTTGTCCAAGGTGGAAAGGGCACTGAAAATGTCCTCTGAGGTGCCAGAGGACAGTCCCAGGCTGCTGTCAGCTGGCCTGGACAGCTGATGTTACTGTGACACAGCCTCTGCCCCTCTGGACTGGGACTAAGATCCATTCAGCTCTGACCAGACAGTTCAGGGAGCTAAACAAACAGAAAATGTTGTTTTCTTCATCACTGCACTCCCAACTTTGTTTCAAAGAGTTAATCAACGGGTCAAATGGATGCAAGTACAAGGCAGGGAGTTAACCAGTTTAAATTGGTTCAGTGAAAGGTGGAACACAAGGATCTTTAAGGTCCCTTCCAAACCAGACCATTCTATGATTCTAAACAGAGCTGCTATCAGGATAGGCTTATCTTAGATACTGGGGGAATACAAAAGAAAGAGCATTTAATGGAAGTGATGTGGATTAAGCTCCAAGACTCTCTGGCTACTTGTTCATCCCCTCCCCTCTGCACATCCTCATGCCTTAAGCACTGAAATCCTGGAGAAGTGATGCAAGGACATTATCACCCGCAGCAGCCCTGGGGACAAGCCCAGGAATGCCACCAGAGGTGCAGCCTGTCAGCTGCAGTGCTCCAGGAGCAGGGGAGCAGCACCATAAGTCACCTAACCTGGCACGTGGGGATCCTGTCCCAGCACTGCTCTGCTACTCCAAAAAAATTGCAAAAACTGACAACATTTTTTGGCCTTAGAAACGAGGGCTGATGGGTTTTGGTTGCCAGCACACAGGAGAGGAGCAGCTCACACCACACGCTCATCACTGAACCATTTATCACCCAAATTAACCTCCCCATCCCCTATCAATCCAGAAATGTCAATCCAGCCTACACTAAACACTGATTGATTTTCTACTCTAACGAGCACCGTGTCACATTTGTGTTAACTACTCATCAGTTCAGATAAGTGGTTTGCAATTAAGATAATTTGAGACCACTGGAAGTGTGGCCTGAAAAGCACTTTCAAGAGTTCAGCACAGAGAAATTCACTGCTCAAAACAGGCAGCCAGGTACCAAGCTGACAGCTACTTTTAGACCTTTACACCAGAATTTACCTTTCCAAAACGAGTTTTCTCACAACCTAATTTTACTTTGGAAGGCAATAACTGGCTCTTACAGAGATTTCTCCCCAGATGTGCACACTCACCGTGCAGCAACACTGATTTTCTTCCTCTCAGGTGACACCACAATCCTTTCACAGGTGCTCCCTATTCCGATGGCAGGCAAGCAGCATTCCAGCACAGCTGCACTCAGTGACAAACAGCCAACTTCACTGAAGCCTCCAGAAAAAAATAAACAGTTCCAGGAGCGCAGCTTGTGAGTTCCATGGCCGTGAGCCTGGACATAGTTCACATTCTCATCCTACATGGAGCCACTTTGTGGAATTTTCCTCTCAGTGCAAGTGGTTTGGACACCGGCAGCTGCCAGTTCAACACATTCAGGTTACAGTTGGAACTCCCTCGTCCCCACCTAGATCCGGAAACTTCAGAGCAGACACTTGGCAACCGGTCAGGTTTCAGTTTGAAGAGAGAGAGAGATCAAACAGCCTCCTGCACGACGCAAGGGTTTTTGCATAGAGAACACCACATCTCTTGCAACATTTCCTCTTCACATGGAGCCCTCATGACCAGCCTGCCAGAGCAGGGAAGTCCTCGCTCCCTCTCAGCACTCACTACCTGCCAGGCTGCCAGCACCAGCCTTGCCCTGTTTTGTCTCCAGGAAGTGCAGCTCATCTTTTTTTTTTCACTCTCCTTTCCTCTCTGCTTCTTCCTTGTATCAAGACACAAATATCTCAAATCAGGTTAGTTTATGTTTGAGTTAAATAATGTCTGAAAGCTTTGCCCTAATATGTAAATGGCTCAAAACCATCAGCCCTTGTATTCTTTAATTATATCAGGCAAAGAAAAGACAGTGTGCTTTTTCATGATGTTTTCTTAAAAGGTCTAAGGAACTTTAACACCTCGTTTGGAAATATCTCTTGAATGTGCATAGATTATCCCAAATTCCTCCTAGTTTTCTCAAATCCCTGCAAAAGCAGTCATGAGAATGCTGTTTCTTCTGTGGGTTGAGGAGACACCTCTTTGGTGACCTTAAAGAACAATATTTTAAGGTATTGAACTGTCAGGCAGCACTACAGCTCATCTGCGCTACTTTTACAATCAAGACTCAAACAATTTACAGATCTGCCTCCTTCTGGAAACCAAATTTTCGAGTGCTGAAACTAAGCACCAACTGAAGTAATACAAGAGCCAAGACAATGGACATTTGTCCCCAAGTTATTCCATAAAGATGAGCTTTCATTTTCTTCAGCTGAATAGTCTGTGAGTCCCCCTTCTTCAGGAGGATGTGGAGGCCGACAGAGCAAAATGAGATCGATCAGATCTCTGATGTGGGCTTATTTTGGCCTCACCACCTTTTCTGCCTCCCACACATCTTTATCTCCATCAAACTTTTCCAGCCTCCACTTTCTGGCCTCTGCTTTCCTTGCTGACCTCCCACACCATTTCAGCCTCCCACTCCTTTCCAGTTTCTGCTTTTCTTATTGGTCTCCCACCCTTTCTCAGCCTCCACTTCTCCTCCTGGATTTTCAGCCTCAGAAATCCCACCCCTTCAACCAGCATAGAATATCCAAACCCCCTGAAGGTTATGAATTTGTAAATTCCCTTTCCAAACAACCATGTTTCACCTTGATATGTCCATCCACACTTTTTCTACACCCCAGCTGACCAGAAATAACCCATGTCCATCCTGACACCTTGCAGTCAGAACAACTTGGGTTTATGCCCAAGGAAACCTGGTGGCTCTCTCAGTAATTCCAATCCTGCAAGGATTATCACAGCACTGAACATTTGTTTTAATGGAAGTATGAAAGTAAAACATGAGAATTTCTGGGATGGTAAAAGTTGATGCTCTATTCTGATGGCTCCATAAACTGCTGTTCCCAGGTCCTATCCACCAGATTCCTGGATAGAAGATCAGCAAAATTAAATATAATCTGTGTTCCCACAGAGTGCTATGGTTGAGCACACACAAAAATACACTCTGTACTTCTCTGCAGAACTTGCTTTTGATCCCCTCCCCCACTTATAAGAGCAAACAAATCCATGCACAAATAAAATGAGGATTTTGCAAGTCACATATTTTGTACTCGCCTTCATTTTCACATGAAACAAAGTTTTCCTTTCTATTTTCTAACAAAATTGTGTCCACAAAACCTTGTGATTTTGGAAAAATCAAAAATAAACTTTTTGAATACGCTATTTTAAATTAAGCACTTGGTTTACTTGAGAAATGTGGTGGGTGCTGTGCTGGTTGTTGCACTTGGTTGTTTATTCAAAACCCCAAAATGAACCAGGGACACAAACCCTGGCTGTTGTTAAAACCTTTACAGGTGTAATGGGTGGTGATGGAAGTTTCCTGTAATATCTGTGGGAGAGCCCCACGCTAACACAGAAGAACAGATAATGAGTCAGGAAGAGGCAGAAAAGCTCACAACTGAACTCCAGTACTCACTCAAAGGGGCAAAAGAAACATCTGTTTTGCTGTCTGAGTTCCAGTTCTGTCAGAGAGAGAATTCCTGGCTCCCTGGTGCAAAGGTGTGGCTTCCCCTCCCAAGGAGCACAAGAGGCAATTTCAAACAGACTCCAAAAGTCCTAAGAGTGGAAGACAACCTGTTATTTAAAACAACAAGATGTGTGGACACAGAGCAAGGCTTCCTGGTCTCTAATTTGGAAGGTTCAATAAAACTCCAGAAAAGCCCAACACTAATTTGTGCAATAATCTTCCCTCTCTCCAAACCACACCGTTGGACTTACCAGCTTTTAGGGCAGATCAAAACCTGAGCTGCAGCAGCACCATTTGTAATACAGTGCTGTGTGGTGTTGCAAATATGCACCAGGTTTTGTTTTTGCCCAAATGTTGATTATAGTGTGCAGCCTTGTAAAGCACAGAACTGCATATTTTAGTTATTAAACTTCGCAAACAAGTCTGGCTGTTGAAAGTCATTTCCCTGAGTAAACAATGACTCAGTGTGGGCTGTATAATGTACAAGTTATTAGTTACTGTTAGTTCAAAAAAAACCCAACTCTATACAAAGGCCTGCTTCAGAATGGAAAATAGTTTTCCTCCTACTTCTATAGTCCCAGTTATATTGTTTCAGTGGAATTTAATTTTCTAAAAAGCTAAACAGATCACTATCTCTTCATTATATAATTGGACATTGACTTAACTGGACCCTTCAGCCATGAACAATATGTGCAGTGTGAAAGCTGAGTTTAACCTTTTTTCTGTTCTCAGTTTGTCATTACAATGCTGAAGTAAAGCTGATTCTTTCCTGGATAGGAATATCCCATCTAGACCAGGCAGCAGGTGGCAATGAAAACAGACATAAAGACAACCATAAAATATTGAGTATATGGTAATGAAGAAAAATGCAGTCGCAAGCTCAATAAAATCCTCTGACAAACATTGCTCCCTAGTTGAATTACAGCTCCTTCCATAATCCCTCTCTTCATTAGCAAAATGGCCAAATACACCTGATTGTGATTGTCAGCTGGCAGAAGGCACCGGGATCACTCTGCCTAATGAAACTCAGCTGCTGAGGCACCAAGGTTTCCCTGCAGCCTCAAAGCCCCTCCAAAGGCTGCTTTCCTGTTCCAGTGTGCACTGCCCCAGGTTAGGAGCACAGCTCTGTGTGTCCTTTTCTAAGGGTGAAATCTCTGGTCAGACACCAGAACATTAAAAGGAAACAGAGTCAGATCACAGAATATCCTGAGCTGGAGGGACACCCCAACAATTCCAACCTGTGCATCCCTGCGAGCACTGTCCAAATGCTCCTGGATCTCTGGCAGCCTTGGGGCAGTGCCCCAGCATCCTCTCATGAAGAACCTTTCCCTGAGAGCCAACCTAAACCTCCCCTGGCACAGCTCCAGCTGTTCCCTCCTGCTGTCACAGAGCAAAGGTTGGTGCTGCCAGCCCCCAGTGAGGTCTGACCTCAGTCTCTTCTTCTCCAGGCTGAACAAACCAAGTGATCTCAGCTACTCTTTATAGGACTTCCCCTCTAGACCTTTCATCATCTTCACAGCAAACTCTGAGGTGAAATTTTTACCAGAAAAGTACCTTCAAAAGAAGCTACCAAAATAAATTTGAAGGCACAGCTCTAGCCTACAGAGCCCAGCCTGCAGGCTGAGTGCCATCACAGCTGTGTCACAGAGGATGTTTTAGTCATTCATGGACTCTCCATTTCCTGGCAAATATCACAACACATTTTGACACAACATTCTTCACCACCACTGATACTGCCCATTCAGTGACTGCAGCCTGCTGTACCTCCCAGCCCTGGGACCTCACTGCAGCACTGCAAAGGTACTGCCAAAATGTCAAATTCTACTTCTATTTATTATCAGCTGCTGAACTGAATCATAGGAAGGGTGGTGGCCAGGCTGGCCCAAGGTCACCGTACCAGTTAAAGGGCTGAGAGTGCCCCAGGAAAGCTGGACATTGGCAACTGACCAAGTGCCTTCCTAAAGAAAAAAAACCGCCAGGGAGAGCTATCCATGCATGCATGAATGCCACAGGAGCTCAAAATTCTAACCTTTACTGCCTTCCAGTACAGGAATTTAATATACAACAGACTACACTGGAGATATATAGCAACAGAAAAGGTACTGGCCCTGCTCCTCCTTGCTGTATTTAAATGTTTAAATATTTAAATAAGGCAGGGCAGGGCTGTAAGGAACACTTCCACCCCCACAGAACATGACTCAGTTGCAACAAATTACTTGAGATTTGTCCACTCCAAACCTTCTTCCATAACAGGCTTTGTTAGCCTTTCACATTGATTCGTGCTGCCTGCTTACATCTTTATTAATGCTTTCTGGGAAGAGCTGGCCACCCACCCTACTAATACATCAACAAAAAATAAGCAGAGGAGGGCACAAAATACAGAGCAAGATATTTTCCAGCAGAGAAATCCCTGAATTCAGAGAGGCACAGCACAAGTGGCTCCCTCCGGGCATTAAAAGAAGTGTGCTACAATCTCAGAGGAGGACAAGGCATGCAAACCTCACCCACTAGAGCTGACAGCAGGGTGGATGGATGGTTTCTGGAGAAGCCAGGGATAGCAATCCTCGACAGAGCCACATCACTCAGGAGCTGGTTCCACAGCACTTTAACACAGGAAAAGCCCTAACAGGAGACACACACACGCCGTAATTGCAATCATTTTATGCCAGCACAAAGGGCCCACCTGATCCCAGCCTTTCCTGTCGCTGTGCTCACACAGAGAGCCAGGCTGGGAAACTGCTCCTCACAAATCACCTGTTTTGTTTGGCCTGCTCAGCTCTGATTTGCATCACTTCTCACAAGTTAACCACGTTTGGCTGCCACTGATAGAGGTAACCCAAAGCACAACACAGATGGTTTTCCCCACGGTAACACTTTAGAAACACACAAATCAGCCTTTATAAACGGTTCTTTAGCCTGTGTGAAAGGACAAGTGATTGAATTACACTCACA